ATTTAAAATGTAGTAATCAACTCTCCAATTGGAGAGAAATAACATTTTCATTGTTGGATCCTTTAAGACATCCCCCGAAGGGGGATGAAAGTGCCCCGAAGCTTCCTAACTTCTGATGGTGCTGACTGCTCTCAGTGATGCTGTTTCTGTATTTATGGAGTGAAGCCACTTCACTCAGGAGCTGCTTGATAAAATACCTCACTACGTATTTCCCTGGAAGCAAGCTCTCTGCTGTGCCAGCAACATATGCTAAAGGCCAATTTAGAATGTTTTAAATATGCACCATCCCCTTCCTTTTCCAGCTACTAAAATGAAATGCATTTTGGCTTTAGCAAATGAGGACAGAGCATGAGGAGGAATGCTACAGGAGAGTGGCTAGGGGAGGCTTAGGCTGCTGCAGCACAGTGTACTGGAACCCAGGCCACTGTGTGCATCTTTTTTTCTGTTTGCCCTCTCTAGCTGTCAACGTCCACAACACGGAGGCATGTGGTAGAGAAGAAGGTAAGGTCAGCGACATGAAAAAGCATTCACTGACAAAGACAGCCAGGCCATATCTATTTGCTTTAACAAAGAGTCACCAGTGGACAGGATTAAGTTAAGAACTCCGCTGATAAAGAACCCAAAGTACTCAAGGACTCCATGTTCCATTTTTCAGTGACCCGGGATGGAAAATAAAGTGGTTCGGAGGACAGAGATGTTAGGGTTCATACTTACTAATGCCGTCAAATGATGCTTTAGTTCGTATCTCGGTAAGAATGTGAGGGCACATTACTGAGAACTAAGTGAAAAGACAATTGTCATCTCTTCTCTATATTGGATTTGAGTTTTGAGATTTAAGCCATGGTTTACTTCTACTGCACAGGTTAGCTAAGGAAAGAGATATTAACAGTGGTTTTAAATTGATAATCAAGGTTAAATTTAGCAACATGATGGAAAGTCGTGAGACACATTCACTTACCTGCACTTATAGGCATATTTCCCAGCTCTCTCATATTTCCCCACTTTGCCACAGTTGTCTTTGAAATGTGCCTTTCCTCTAACCCATCAGGTGGCTTACACCAACTCCCACCAAGTTTATAACTCCTGTTGGGTAATGGGGATGATTAAAGGGGCTTATTTTTGTGCATGTGTGTGTGCTGAATTTTATTCTTAACCAAGTAAAATGGGCCTTTTGCAATATAGATGACATTGATCCTCAACCAATCTGCTGTCAAATTTTGATAGATGTGCAAAATATGTTTTTGCTGTAAGAGAATATATATTATTGTATGTTGTATGGAACACTGCCCTGAGCTGACATATGTCCCAGTGAGGAACAAGGGCCATCTTTCTGTGCATGTGAGATGTTTCAGGCTCCTAAGATATTTACATTGTGAGAACAGTCAAAATGGAATGTGTTTTATGCAGGTAAAAAATCCCCTTACTACATACAGTAAATGTTCATGCTTCTACATAGTGAACCTTAGTGGTAGTTTAAAAGAGTGCAGAGGAATGATTTCTACCTTATAGTTGCCAGATAGATATTAGAGGTTTTAAAAAGATACGGTGATCTCAAAGAGGTCACAACTGTAGACAAAATGGGTAAAATTAGAAGAAGTAAAAGAGGGAAGACATTTGCAGGAAAGTTCTAAGAAATTGCCTAACCTGTTAAAGTGGTGGCTGTGTTCCCCATGGCATCTGTAACTACTAGCATGCAGTCTTTCTCGATTCTTTCTAGATGTGCATTTCCTCTTTAATGTGAGCTCAAGTTCGTGAAAGCTGTTTCCTGATGAAAAAAGATCCCTTATGTGGACGGCTGCTGAGCCTAAGAACACTTCATTATGTGGAAGACCAGGATAATGTGCATGAGTCAAGAGCTGACGCTGCTGTCTGAAGCTTGTCTTAAATGCTGATGTTCCCTTTAGCTGTTGCGTTAGGACTTTGGAATCAAGTCACAGGCAGGGAAGAGAAGCAGGGCTTGGTCTATTTTGGTGTCACCCTGTATATATTGGTGTACCCACTCTTTCAAAAGGGCATCATTGTAAGAAGAGAGGTTGCTATCACTATGGGGCTGTTGTGGTTACAAAGACAGAACATGCTTCAAAACCACCTAAGACTTGGGTTCTAACCTTAGCCCTCTTCCTATTTACTGTGAAAAATTGAGCTAAAAGGATTTTATCCTCTCTGGTTGTTGTTCCATTCTAACTACTGAACACAGTTGCTTTGAGTATTTCGTAGTATGTGTATTTCGTATATGTAGAGCACACACATCCCAAGTACAGCAAGTACTTGTTATATAAGTAAATGGAAAAAAGAGCTGAAACTATTGAGAATGAGAATTTTCCCTCTAGGGAATATGAAGCAGACCTATGGACGAGATGTTAGCAATTTAATCTCTTAGCAAATGTAATATGAAGAGCATTAGCTCTGAGGTCAGACTGCTTTGCTTTCAATTTCCCCTCTACCTTTTACTAGCTGTGAACACTGAGCACATTGCTTGATTCCTTAATCTCAGTTTCTTTGTCTTTGAATGGATATAACAACAGTGAATGTTCTGTGGTATTGCAATGAATATTAAACTGAAATGGTGTATGGAACATAGTAAGGACTCAATGTTAGTCATGCTTGTGACTTTCTTCACAGTGAGGAGACAATGATTACTTTGTACCCAAAAAGGGGGCTTGGTATAAAAGTAGAATATCTAATCCTATCTTTTTTTTTATACTTGATCACATTATATAATCCCTTTCATGAATTTCAGTTAGTCATTGTTTATACATACATACATACATACATACATACATACATACATACATATATATAGCCTATTCTTTGACATTGCATTAGTAAACAAACTTGTGCACATTAAAAATCTGAAACAAAATAGATAGGCCTATAATTCCATCACTTAGGAGATAGATATAAGAGTTTCAGGAGTTCAAGGCCATTCTTGGCAACATATCAAGTTCAAGTACAGCCTCTGCTACAAAACACCCTGTCTCAAAAGACAGACAAGCGGGCAAGGATCTGAAACAGAAGTGCCAATTGACTATGATGGATTATCATCTTCAGAAATAATAGGAGAACAATCACATATTTAAAATAGACACCTTAGTACTTCATTTACCTCACATACAAGTACAGCATCACCTAAAGGGAGTACTGGTCAACCCAGTGTAGAGTGAGTTTTCAATTTCATAGTTTGCTTTATTAAAATTTTAGTAACATTAACAGGGACAAGGACAGAAATGAACTAAACCTAGAGTACCCCCCAAAAAAAGTGACATTGTGGCTTATAATTGTAGAAAAACAGAATTAGAGAATAAAGAAATAGCAGAACAAGTCCAGGTAACAACAGTTTTAATTTTCATTTTCAATTTGAGCACTTTCAAATGCTAGTTAAGCTAGCATGAGTGACACTTAGGGAAAGAAAAAAAAAAAACTTCCCCCTTGAATGTCTTTAAAATCTATAATACTAATATAATAGTATAAAGTGCATCTGGGCATCGCCTTCTGCTGAAGTTCTTGTCTGGCTCTCATCCAAAACTGTCAGGCCACTCTTGAGCACTGATGATTCATGGCCCAGCACCCTTTTATCTGAACATTGCAATGTCTTTTCTTTGTACTTTAGCAGTGATGTTACCTTGATGTTCAAAAATCTTTTAAAAGGAACAGTCTTTCTTTGCATCTTGACACATCATTGTCTGCCAGTGATGAAGAAAAGGTAAACTCATGATCATTATGAGCACAAAGAAACACTCTTGGTTCTCTTCATAAGAAATGGCATGTTTTTGAGGATCCTCACTGAAATGCGAATGTTCTGATAACTTCCTCTTGTTTCTCTCACGTGAATTGGTACTTTGAAACCTCAAGATGCTCTTCCAGTACTTTCTCCTCTGAGACTTGAGGGGCCATGGGAGGCAAGCAGGACAGATCCTCATTGTTGTCATATTTTACGTGTAAGGAAATTGAGGCTCCGGATGATATATGACTTCCACTCACCAGATCCAGTTCTTAAAGCCAGCGTGTTCACTCTGTAAGGAGTGCTATCACTTCCTGTGTTGCCTCTCCAGAGGGAATCATTGTCAGGGAATATTTAGCTTTGAGAATAAAAGTGGTCTATTTCTCCCAGGGTGCTGAAGGTCTCATTATGCTTGGCTGATAGGTTTTAAGCACTCACTGGGAGACTGGAGGGCATGATGGGGCTCTGAGAATGAGAAGGAGCCTGGGAACCCTCCCAGAGATTACCAAAGGAACGAGGATTTTCATTCGCAAGGAAAGGAGCACACAGACACAGCTGACATCTCTAAATGTTTTATGGACTACCTTGTAGAAGAGGAATTAAATTCGCCCTTTGTAACTCCAGGCAGCAGAAGTAGGATCAGTGGATAGAAATTACACAGAAGCAGATTTATGCTCAATATAGGAAGAAAGTTTCTAACATTTAGAGATGTCCAAAAATGGAACTGACCAGCTCATCATCCCTGGGAAGTGTTCATGTGAGACTGATTGTCCGGCCTGAGGATTATGGGACTTTATGAATGTTGTATTTCAGCAGTAACACAGTTTTATGGTGAACCTTTCTGAGGCTTAGGGAAGAATTTCCTCACTAGCTAAAAACAAAAGCTTTTTTTTTTTTATTAAAAGTGTTTCGGTTGTTTATTTATTTGTTTATTTTGTAAGCTTTCCTGCCATGATTTTAGACTGAGAAAGATTGACCCTTATGATGCTTCCCACTTCACTATGTCTTGTGAAGTGCTTTTCAGCTGATTAGGAAAGATATTAATTAAAACAGAGAAGCCCCAGATTTACAAAACTGAACTGAAGCAGGGTTTTGCAGGGTGTGTGTATGTGCGTTTGTAACACTTCAAATCAGGCTATAAATCGTAACAATGTTCAGTAAGGACTTTTCGTACTGAATGCTTTAGTTCCGGAATTGGTGAAGGGTACGGTTGTCGATTCCAAACAGGAAGACTCCCTGTATGAACGTTTTTCTTATTATTTCCTCCTATATCCAACAGATTCCAAAGGGGTGACTACCACATCGATGTCTGTATCAATGACTACCTGGATGTTTTCTGCCCCCACTATGAGGACTCTGTCCCGGAAGATAAGACGGAGCGGTATATCCTCTACATGGTGAACTTCGATGGCTACAGCGCCTGCGACCATACTTCCAAGGGCTTCAAGAGATGGGAGTGTAACCGGCCTCACTCTCCAAACGGACCACTGAAGTTCTCTGAAAAATTCCAGCTCTTCACTCCCTTCTCCCTAGGATTTGAATTCAGGCCAGGCCGAGAGTACTTCTACATCTGTGAGTACATGGAGATTTGTTACCTTGTGTGGCAGCTGCAAAGCTCAGACTGATTTTTTTTTTTTTTCCCTGACCTATGTTTTGGAGACGTGCAGAGCTGGACTCTGCATTTCAGATGTCTCCTTGTGAATGCATACATCACAGTCCCTAGCTACATTAGCTGGGAATTGAGAGCCCAAATTAGATTAAAGACACAGCGCCTCTTCCCCTATGAAATTGCGTGTCAGTCTGTCCAGTGAACCATTGCTGACTTGTGTTTCTTTTAAATGAAAATTGCCAGGACTTTTTTTTTTTTTTAAAGCTTGGGGAAAGGAAAAAAAAAGATTCCTGAAAAAAAAAATTAAAGGAAATAATTAAATTTACATAACTTGGAGTTATTGCATTTCTTATTCAGGTGTCAGCAATATCCTCTTAGTCAGCCACAGTTTTAATGGAGAAAGCCACAACTCCTGCAAATGTCAACGTGCTGATGATAAATACTTGCTTTGCACCAAGGAGAAAAGGAATTATTAGGAGCAGCTGTGTCTTTAGACAGGCAAGTGTGAGGAGGTATCTAGGAAGAGTTCCAGGGGAGCTGGCTTCTCACCTGTGAGCACGGAGTGGCTGTCCTGAGAGAACCCGAATGTTCCCAGCAGAGCTGCGTCAATCACGTGCCACGGCCCGCTGTGTTCTCCATCCCAAGCAGAGCAGCATCACCTTTGCAGGTGTCACACTGTCCTAGCTTATTCCTAAATGCTTCTCAGACTTTACTATGCACGAGATACGTGGAGGTCTCATTGTCATCCGGATGTCGGCTGGAGATCTGAGGTGGGGGCCTAAGATTCTGCGTTCATAAAGGTCCCAGGTCACATTCATGTTGCCGGCCTACGGACCACACACTGAGTAACAGAGTTATCCATGATGCTAACTGTAGGCCTCTTGGTGCTTAGCTGTTTTTTTGCTTGTTTGTTTTGTTTTGTTTTTGTTTTTGTTTTTGTATCAAATATTTTAATAGTCTAGTCTTCCCCAGTTCACTGTTGGCTGAAGGGCATGAGGCCTTGTTTGTTCATGGTACGTTTATTAAAGAGCTCGTGTTGGCTCTGACATGGGAGGTGTGAGATGAAGATACTTCTTATGTTCTGTAAGTGTCAGACCTGTAAAGAGGCAGTTCGGGTAAGGACAGCTGCTGATAGGGCCAGTGGGGACTCAGGAAGACCTGATGCTCACTGGCTTCAGGAATCCGGAAGTGCAGTTGCTCCCGCTGTGTGGAAATCCACCTGATTCCATCCTAAATGCTTGGCATCCTTCTTCCGCATCAGTGAGCCAGACAAACAAGATAGAGAACATTCCTGTTTTTCTGACTCAGTTCTTCCATCCAAATGTCTCCACCCACATGGTTTAGATCTGCTGAGCTTTCTAGCTCCTCTCCATCTTCAGAAAACAGAATTTTACAGCCAGTCAGATTTCAGCGGCGCCACAGCTCTCTCACTTATATTGAAATTGAATTTTAAGAGGAAATTGAACAGTACCAGTTTTATTATTTTGGTGCATACTTCAGTTGTTAGTCATGAGAAAACATGTAAAGAGCCTTGATACCATCTCACATTCGGTCCATAAAAATAAGAAAAGGAAGATTGAGTCTCACAGATGGAGGAAGCCCTGGCATGCAGTGACCCCTCACGCACACAGGCAGTGCGCCCACAGCTTCACTGTGCTCTTCCTTTCTGAAAGAATCCCATTCAGGAGAGGAGGGGAAGGAAAGAGGAGGTATTCAGTTTTGGGGCTGCATTAACTTCATTTATTCTCCAACTGTGAGATACTGTGCTGTGAGAGGAAGTTCCTACCAGAATTGATATCCTCTTATTGACTTTTCAGACTTAAATACCAACAAAAGCATGAACCGAAAATAAAGAGATAACATCAAGATGGGAAACACACTCACGGGCTAACTAGTTGATTGCATGATTATTAGAAATTATAGAATCCACTGAGGTTCATCAGCAAGATGTTATTCACATATACTGTAGTGCTTATGACTAGGTTTTGTGGTTAAATTCAATATTTCACTAAAAATCATTATGTGTCTTCTATAACATTCATTTAACGGAGTCATTTAACTGTCAAGGGCTCCTGTCAAAGTAATTGTTCCAAAATGCTTCAAAATATCAAGAGCTTTTTTTTGCTGTTCAGCTGAGTTTAACTTAAATTACTTTTTTTAATGAAAGGTAAAATAGCACAAAATTAAGCAGCAGAGTGATGTTCATTTACAAGACTCACGGTGGCCTGATGTTCAATTAAATGGGATTTTCAACCATGTTTTCAACCCACAAAAGTGTCCCCCCTTCTCCGCTGCCAGGAGAGGCTCCTCTGTCTTTCTCTGTTGAGAGCAGTGGCACAGCTAACACGGCTGCGCATCTCAGCACGTGCAATGTGCTCGGCTCATAATTAAAGCACGGGGTTCCTAGGGGAAAATTGGCCCTTGGTTGAATCTCCTTTCTCCTAAGATGCGTGGGATGAACAGCATGAACAGCTTTTTTCACACTTGTTACGCCCATCTCAGAAACAAGCTAAATTGTCCAACACTCGTGAGGACAAGGGACCAAGTCTCATAGTGTCTCTCCTCACTGCTCCAGAAACAGGAAGAGGAAGAAATGTGTGGCCTAGTGTCTGCCCCCCTTTGGTTTCAGCTCCATTGTGAGGTAGGGTGCCAGAAGTCGGCTAGAAACAGATTTGGTGGGAAGGAAAGGCAGGCGTTCAAAGCAGGGGTATGTGGACTAAGACAAATTTTAGAAATTAAAAGAACATGCTTCAAAGATGTTTCTCATAAATATTAACCTATAGAGAACACATTTAGAAGAATTGTTTCATGTCTTAGTGAGAAGAGATAAGAGAAATCACTAAAGCAAGGACATTAAGCTTTTTTTTTTAAGTCCATGGAAATAACAGTTTGAAGACAGTCTCTTGCTGAAGCGCAAAACACAGTGATTACCTGGCCCTTCCGCTGCTGTAATGAGCTATTTGAACTTGAGTAAATCATCTGATATCTTGGAGTTCTGAGTCTACATCTGTGACATAATGTGACTGAAATGAATGATTTCAGAAATTGCTTGGAACTTTAATATCCTCGTGTTATTAATTTTTATCTGAGGTCTGCGGCTTCAGCTAAGAGATAACATCTGTGCAAAGGCCGGACATGGTGCCTAGTACGTATCAGTAAACAGAACCAAAGGGGAAGTCTTTGAGAGCACGCAGAGAGCTGTGTTGGAGCTCTGGCCTCCGTGTCACTTCTGTCCGTATTCTCGTGCCCAGGCTCCTCTGAGTCCCCAGGATCCCGGCACTGCTTTGCCATCCTGGTTCCATCCCATCCAAACCACGGCAGCAAGGTGTTCCATGGCTGTCTTCTTCCTTTCCCAGGCCTCACCTTTTCTGACTTCCTCCCTCTCCTCCATCCTATTCCATTTAGCTACTCAGCACACCCCAGTGTTGGGGTCTGGGCGCTGGGATGTCTTCCCGCCTCCTCATTCATGTCTCTTCCTCTCACTCTTTTTTAGAGGTGTGATGTTAAATGTCTTTATCTGAAAGTCTGAATAAAAATATAAAAAACAACCCTTTCTTTATCATTCTCCACCCTCTTACTGTCTTGTGCAATTATTGTTTCTCGGGCACTTATCACTCCTGACATTAAATATTTATGATTTATTGTTCGTAGCTGTTTCTGCCCTGTGGCATGTATTATATTGTTTGTCATGGAGAACGTGTTCAATAACTAAAAGTAAATAGTGTTTACGGAGCAATGCTCTGTTCTAAGTACTGTTCTGAGTACTTTGTCATTAAAATGGTACTGTGAGATAGTGTTCTTTTGTGTGTGTGTGTGTGTGTGTGTGTGTGTGTGTGTGTGTGTGTGTGTGTGTGAAGAAATTGAGGTAAAGGTCAGTCAGATAATTTGTAAAAGGTTCATGCAGGTACAAAGTTGACATGACTAATGGGAGAAGAAATTGGGGCACATGCAACTTAGAAGAAATGCAAAGATACAATCTAAGGTCTTCTGTACTTCAAAAGGAAAAATATATGTTGTTACTTTTTGTTGTTGTTGTTTACACTTTTACAAGAATAGAGATGGTTTCCACAGGTGACTTGGTGGATAAAGTACTTGCCAGACAAGTGTGAGGAGCTGTGATTGGATCCTCAGCCCCCATATGAGTGTTGGGCGGGTGTAGTGGCTCATTGCAGAGAGCAGAGGCGTTGCTGCATCTTCAGCTCTCCAGTGGATGCTTTCCTATCTGAGAAATGCACTCCCGGCTCTCAATCTAGGTAACTTCCAAAGCCAGAAAAGTTGCATTTCCTGAGACAACAATCCTATAGTCGCTGCATATATAGTCCACAGGGTCCAAACTGAGTTTTGATTATCCCCATGACCCTGAATTAGTGAATCGCAGTGAATGACCTACTACATACACAGCAGCATCATTTCCTGAAAAATGACGGCGTTAAGGCAGAGGTCCCTGCTACACCTATCCCATTGCTGGCCACGTTCTCTGCATGGGCACGCTTTTCATATATCCGTAGTATATTGCTCCCTGATTGCATAGTAACTGTCAACACGCCATGTATTTCAGTAGTCTATCGCTTTGTCTTAGACCGTGAGACAATTCTGGCATGCCCTGCCAAGTTTATTTTATTAACAAAATAGCCTAACTTCCTAAGATACGGTTTCATATAAGGACCCATATCCACTCCAGAAACTGATTGTATGGTATGGTTATTGAACAACGGATTATAGGTATGAGATTCATCAGAAAAACAGAACATTAAAAGGAGAAACTCCTTCACTTGCCAGTTGGCTCTAAAAGCTTTTCCTGTAGGTGAATTGTGCAGGACTCTGAGTATAATTTCTTATGGAAGTGTTTATAAAACCAGCGAGAATCCAGAGAATCCACTTGGCCAAGACACTGGTGAAAAAAAAAATGTGTGTTTTCGAGGAGAAATAGTATGAAATAGCATACCTAGAAGAGCTTCCCAGT